GAATTCCACACAACTGAGGAAAACCCTATCTTAGACCTAATTAATGAAAAGTATAACTACATAATACAGGCCGACATGGAAAACTCACGTGTAATTCTGGATATGACACCTAACGTACGGAAAGAGGCGTTGACGATGTTATTGACATGCGTATTAAATGACAGAGAATAGTCTATATAAACTCCAAGATCGCGAGTGCGACCTACCCTTTGCAATGGGGCACTGCCGAGTTGGTGACAAAAATGAAAAAGCCTTCGCTTCCTAGCAAATGACATAACAACAGTCTTAGTAAAATTAATTGCCAGCCTGTTGAGACTACACCAATTACTCACTGATTTGACATCATCCATTAGTTTTATGAGTAATACATTTTGTTACTTTTGTCGGTAATGCCTACAACACTGCTTTAATTAAAGTTTGTGCTGGTAACACCAAGATATGTATTGATACTTGGTTGAATGTTTTTACATTGCAACTGCATGAGTAAATTCGATTTTCACCACTTAAAATCCCGTTAGTTGTACTCACAAACCGTTTTAGTCGTTTCTCAAGAGACAACAATGCCACATAAAGAAAATTAAAAAAAAAAATATGCACCATGCAAAACAACGAGGACAATTGGAAAGAATTGACAGGACAAGCACTTGCCTTCACCCTCATCGCTTTGCACACTGTGTACTGTTATTTTCTTCATATGGCACATTGTCTTTTGGAAATCCACTAAAGCCATATAGCTTCTTATACTGCATTCTCGATTGCCCTGGTCCTTTTGTGCATTGTGAACCAAATTTTCCGGTCTACAAATCTCACAATATAGAGAGATCAGCTTGAAGATTAAACACACGCAGAGAGGGAACGAACATACACACCACTGACTATCAACTGCTACTTTAATAGTTCTTTGTTTTCCCTTTCGTTCTCTCTCTTTATGTTTCTTCGTTCCCTCTCTTTGCGTGTGTCTGATGTTCAAGCTAATCTCCCTGTATTATGTACCTACTACATCGTGAGCGAAATGGATCGAACGCATTTTAAACTGACCGCATAAATCGGTTTCTTAACTTATCGCGCCGGGATTTACTACAGAGGTGTTCGAAGCTGGTGCATTTATCATTCATTAATTCCGAGTATGATAACCTGAAACCTCCAGATTCAAAAGAAAGAAAATAAAAACTGGTTTTGTCTATGGAAAAGTGATCGCTAAGCCTTTTTTCTCGAAATCATCCGAAAATAATTGTGGGCTATTTTGGCGTTTGCTACAATTGACAAATTTAGGAAATGGAAAGAAAATATATTTGGTTTACCTATTCTTTACTTCATTTCGCCCAAGTAAACGCCAAAGCAACACATTTTTTTTACATGCAAAGTAAAGGAAAACGTAGTTTTTGATTTTTCTTGATTTACTCAAGTGAGCCAATCTGTCTACAATTTTAGCAAAAGCTTCTACCAACTTCAGGCACCTCTGTAGTAAATCCCAGCGAGATAAGTTAAGAAACCAATTTATGCGGTCAGTTTAAAATGCGTAAACCTATTTCGCCCACGTATAAGTCGCACTTCTTGTAGTCGGCATGGCGAAAGTGTATATGTGTAGAGTGATTACTATATTATGTTCAAGCGGGAGCTACTTTCAGTAATCTTACCAACGAATCCAACACGCAATATAACACTTTTTGCAAATTTGTCCATCATAAAAGAAAACAATGCATAAAAATCACACCAACAGACTTTGAAAAAAAAAAAAAACAAGAAGAATACAAGGCTGATACACTGAGAAATATGATACTTGTAAGTATGAACCAACTCGAATGCATCGTTAGTTTGATTCTTATAAAGTTAACAAAGATGAACTCGTTTCATCTTGCCACCCTGACCTCTGCCTCCCTCAGAGGAAAACCAAGCACCAGGCATGTGTGGATATTGGGTTCTGAGCTCGAAGCGAATAGTGATTTTGGCCGTATATTTTCAAATCGAACAGCTTCTTTAAGCTTTTCACTACTGCACCATACCTAAATAAAAATTTATCTGAACTCATAAAAGTCGTTCTCAATCTTCCACTTGCCTAAATCTAAGCTCATTTTAACTTAGTTATATTTATGGGCTGTGACCTCAGAAAGTCCATTGCCTACATGGCAGCGGCAAGCAAATTATGCATTTGACATAAAATTAGACATAGAGATGCCCAGCTCTACTCAATTGACGGGACCGAAATCCTAGACCTCAGCGAAAAAAAGAGGGAATAATCTCAAACGCAAGTTTTTGTGAAAAAAAAGTTGCATAAAACAAGCTTTTTTTTTTTTTTTTTTTGCTTTTTATAGCACTTTTGGCATCGGTGTTGTTCTTGGAGCTTCGTGACTACGCATTTTTGACGTTCTTGCACTACAATATGCGTGAAAGTTTCTAAAAGAACGGGGTCTTGCAAAAAGCACAGCCCCCCCCCCCCCCTTTATATTGTGTCATGGCGTCAGAATAAACAAACATGGACGCGTTTATGGAAGAGAGCAGACACTGGTCTAGACGCAAATATCTATTCTTGTAATGCAATTATATGCAAAGGTGCAAGCGAGCTGGGAAAGAATGATGAAAATAATCCCTGGAGAAGGGGAACAAGAGGGACAAAGGACAAACACAAATCTCCAAACAGTTAGCTGTGTTTGGAGATTTGTGTTGGTCTTTTGTCCCTCTTGTTCCCCTTCTCCGGGGATTATTTACATCACGCAAATATCCTTCGTTAGAGGGCCATTGACAAACTGCACTGGGGAGGAAGAAGAAACATGGAGGAGAAAGATACCAAAAATCACGTAACTGTGCAACTTTTTTTTTTTTCAACGTATTTGCAGCTTTTTAGAAGCCACAAAAAATGGGTATCACATTTTTTGTATATTTCTAGCATTGAGTGTGTGCCTTCGATGACCCAAAACTTTGATCATCTTTGGTGGTCGTGCCTAAACCATAGTAAACGGCACGTGACCACGGAGAAGAAAGGGCGCGACTCAAACCGACCAGTTCTCGATCGGCGGTTTTCGGGCGGAAAGAAAACGAATTTCGAGTCGCAAATTGTGTTATGGGTAGTTGGGCTCTCATATCTCATTTAGAAATAAAAACCTTGGCGAGCATAAATAGCTGTCAGTGTCCGTTTAAGCTAAAAGAAAGTGTGTATATATATATATATATATATATATATATATATATATATATATATATATATATATATATATATATATATATATATATATATATATATATATATATATATATATATATATATATAGGGTGTTTCAGAGAACTGAGGCCAAATCGCTCCTGCGAAAACTACTTATCGCAACGAAAAAAGACTTGTCGTTTTGGTCCTGGGCCAGGGGCCCATTTAGGAAAATTATCAAAGTCCTGGATAATTATTTATATCAATTATTTTTGTGTTAATTAACTTTTTTAATATTGTGTTTAAGGGCATGGCTTCAATTACAAAATTGCTCAGCATCATCAAAAAACGCTAAATCAACAAATTGCGGAACGATAGAAGGCACGCGCATCATTTTACGACTTTCTGAAAAACCGCACAAATTCGCCGGGTTTTTAAGTTTCGGTTTACTAGCGGAGCGCATCTCGGCCCCGACGGCACCGCACCCCGTGGAGAGATAGTGCAACCAGCCTCTGCTGCGTCGTGGAGATAGTGCAACCAACCTCTGCTGCGCCGTCATCGCGCGGCGCAGCAGAGGCTGGTTGCACTATCTCTCCACGGGGTGCGGTGCCGCCGGGGCTGAGATGCGCTCCGATAGTAAACCAAAACTTAAAAACCCGGCGAATTTGTATATGTATGTACGTCTGTATTTCGCGAGATCTCTCCGCATGCAGACGACGCGCCACCTTTCAGTGCCTCTCTTTTTTTTTTTTTTTTTCCTAGCAGTTTAAAACGATTTTAAAAGGGTAAAAAACAAAATGGCGTGTAGTAGCTCTGGGTGAGCGACGTGAGGGCAGTCTCAAATATGCTGCAAAAAGATAATCGGCACAGAAGAAGAAAAAAAAAAAATAAAAAGCTCGTCCGAGACGTTTTTGATTTTCCCGTCGTACGCACCCCTCTTAACACCCTCAGCACAGCCGCCGTGTACAGCCATGTTGAAAGTATGCAGAAAAAGCTACGAGACGGCCGATGTTTCGTCATTAACACTTCCGGTATGATTTTTATTTTTCGAAGTCAGCATTGTAGTGTCTTTGCAGTCGTCGTAAAAAAAAAACAAAAAAAACGTGATTAATTAAGGACAATTATTAAACATTCAACTTGCAACCTCACAACGTCTTTAAGAATGTCTGTCAATTACGTCAAAAAGAAAAAAAGAGCTTAAATTAGGGAAGGAGGACACAAGCTTGGGCAAGCGCCAAACTTTTTTTTTTTTTTTTATCACGATTTATTCTTTTGGTGTTTCATCACGCGCTTCTCAAACGTTAAAACAAGAAATTGATTTTGGGGTTGTTAGTGGCTTTTTAAATCTAAAATTTGAGAACATGAAACAAGACAACGAATGATGAACATAGGCTGTCAGGACATCTCCGCCTAACATATACTCTTGCATAATAGCCAGTTTAATTCGGAAACTTTACTGTAGTGTACATATCAACATTCACAAAGTTTTAATCTTTTTTTACACACACCGCGTTCATACGTGCACCATCCCACTTTGAATACATGCTTTCTTCCTAAGAATGCGATTGCAATATTTGTACTTTTCGAAGCGTGGCAGGTCAGCCCCCCTTTGAGAGCGCTTCCTCCCGGGCCCCCGTGCACTGCGGAGAAGCAACATTCGCAAAAGCGAGCTCCGTGGATGTTGCTTCTCCGCAGTGCACCGGTGGTCGGCTAAAAGCGAGCTCAAAGGGGCCAACACGCCACAGTCAACACTTCAAAGACTATGAATATCAGAGTTCACCTCGAAGCGACTATCGAATGGCGTATAATTCGCACACCACCACCAAGTATGAAGCCGCTCCGTCTCAAAGAAATACGCCAGTCGCCTTGCATTCACCATAATTTATTCCTATGTACAAAGGGCAGGCCAGAGGTGCTAGAGCGTCCTCACGTAGGCACCCAGCAGGGCCTGGACGTCGGGCAAGCAGATGAGCTTGTGGGGCACCTGCCCCAGGATGGTGAGGTGGCCCCCGCCCTCCTCGGGGGTCGCCTTGAGGGAGGCCAGGTCTTGATGGAAGGATACCAGGGTGCCCCTCTCCAGCGTCAGGGCCACCGAGCCCAGCAGCAGCCGGCTCCGCCCGGAGCGCAGGACCTGCAACTTCCCCACGTAGCCCTCGGGAAAGTCGGCCAGGGTCAGCCGCTTGCCCGGTTCCTTCTGCTCCTGCAAGTGCAGCGTGGGCACGCTTAGACACCTATCAACCGAAATACAGCCTTCCAAAACTCCATCGAGCAACAATAGCAGCACACCATATCTTTAGTTGTCACTTAAAGCGCATTCCGTGAAATACCGAGCATGCGCCCGTGCCACAATAAAAGCCCAGCCGCTACTTCTAGAACGTTTGAAAATATAGCAGAGAACATATGATGTACCCAACTTAGTATTCCGAGCACACCTAGCTAAATGAGATGCTCCCCTGCATCAACTGTTTGTCCGAGCACGCCGGTGCGAAGCGGAGAAGCTTGACTCACTTGGACAGGCGCAAATCGGTGTAGCTTGACATGCAGACGCCAGTGCAAAGTGGTGAAGCTCACCCGTCATGTGCCTCTCCTGCATTTTTCGTCTTGGACCTCACCCAAAACCTTTGGGATAACCTTAAAAAGCCCCCAGCTTTTTAAGTTTATCCCAAAATTCGAATGGGCGCTTGCTCACCATTTTACGGTAGGCTGTAACTGGACCAAAGACTACAACTTAAATGGAAGCTACGGAGCTTCTTGAAAAATATTAGTTAGAAGTGAATTCTAGTGTATTTTTACCCCGTGAACCCGAATACCCAAACCATTTTCCGCGCAAGTATTGTTAGACGCGAGAAAAACGCGAAAGACAGTCGCTGTTTGTGACGTCATCGACGGATCCTTTGGCTGCCCAAGGCTAGGGAGGCGGGGCTTCAGCCCTATTTTGAAATTGCTCGTGTGGCTCTCCAGCGCGTCGCATTGAAATATAATTGTGATATATGTTTTTCCAAAGGCCAAATGAACGCAATTCAAGCATTTTTTCTAAAATGTAGAAGTGCCCCATCTTCCCTTTAAGTTTCTGTAAACAAAATAATAGGAGTTACGTTCAAGTCAAAGGCCAACACATTGATTGTGTTTACTACGCGGGGTGATCAATAACTTTTGCCTCCTTGGCTGTAACTTTTTTATTCAGTGATGGATTTGAAAGACGTTACATTCAAATAAAAATTTGGAATCTCCTCTTTCCCAGGAGCTCTTTACTTTTTAACATAGCTCCCACCAACGGCGATGCACTTCCGCTACCGGCGCACTACGATTTCTGCATGCCATCGTAGATGATTGAGGGTGGCTGTTGACATGACCAACGATGCACTGCATCGGCAACCTCGTCGTCAGATGCAAACCGTGTATCCATCAGAAGTTCCTTTATCTTGGAAAACCGCCAAAAATCTGATGGGGCGAGCTCCGGGTTGTAAGGTGAATGAGGCTAAACACCTTGGAACTGCAGCTGCTCCAGCACGGCGTTGGTCTCACCAGCGGTCGCCTTCAATCATCTACGACGGCATGCGGAGAGTAGTGCACCGGTAGCAGAAGTGCACTGCTGCCGCTGAGGAATATGTTGAAAAGTTGTGTGCTCCTGAGAAAGACGAGATTCCAAACTTTCATTCGAATGTACCATCTTTCAATTCCATCACTGAATAAAAAAGTTACAGCCTAGGAGGAAAAACATACTGATCACCCCTCATACATGCTGAAGATGTGCGACTACATTATGGCAGCTTCACATTACTAGCACAGGAGCTGCTAGATGGCAGATGTTTTTGTAAATATTGAACTCAGAAACAACCTAGGTAGTAAAACCGTAGATACCGTATTTATTTGAATTTAGGCCGAAAGTTTTTTTTTAAATGCCAATACATCAAACTCTAGGGACGGCTTAGATTCAAGGATTTTGGAACACTCGCCAATTTCCAAGTAAAATTGAAGAAAGTGGCGCGCAGCTAGCGCCACCTAGAAAAGAAAGTATTTTAGCCATTACTAGCCGAGCCAGTAGCCACTTAAGTACACAGGCAGTGCCGCCATTTTGACCTGCGTTGATAGTGGCCTGCGTGCGGCGTGGCATTTTCTTTTTATCAACAGCGCACTGGCACCAACAGACCAGTGCCATTATAGTTCCGCTTTTAAAAGAAAAATTGCTTTAGCCGCGGAGTTGTCATCGAACGTTCAAGCCAGGCGGGACTTCAGCGTGGATGAAAAAAATGTCCATCGTTGGAGGAGGCAATGGGAGAGGATATTTGCATGCGCCGCAACGAGGATGGCGGGCTGGGTAGCTGCAGCGTGGGACGACATCCCTTGAACTTTGATTGTGCGCTCCTTCAAAAAGTGCAGCATATCTAATGCGCTTGATGGTACTGAGGATAGCGCACTCTTTAAAGATGACAGTGATAAACAAGTCAGCGACTAGGCTAGCAGCGATGATGACTCAGAATGAGCATGGCATCTTTATGTTCAATAAATATCTTTTTGTGAACGCTATCCTCGCCTTTTCGTTCGGCATACATTCGAGGTAAGTTTTTTTTCTTCCTGGCTTGACTTTTTGTGGTCGGCTTAGAATCGCGGCCGGCCTATATTTGAATAAGTACAGTATTAAACCAGCATGCCTGCACCCTTGATTAACTTCACAGTATGTGTTAGCTGTTCAAAAAATAGCATTCTAACTGATCCCTGGCACACTAGCCTTACGATTGATAGCACATTTTATTAAAGCATACAGCACATGTGATTAAAAAAAGGGTTACCAGAAAGCACCTCACGTGTTATTATACAGAAATACCTTTGCCGAGCTGATTGAGCTTGCCCCAATGATGCACACTGATTCAAGACAGATGGAGTGACAAGGAAGTCAGCACCACCCTTTGCCTGTTGGGGCAATGTTTATAGAGAACCCAGAAGATGAAGCTCACAGAAAAATTCCTTGCTAGTTACTATAGTAATTGCTTACTATGGTATACTATATACATACTTTACTATATACTTATGGAAAAATCAGTGAATGCTGACTGGTTGATCCCCAAGTGGAGGTGAGAGACCCGTGGTCAAGAATAGGCAACTTCTTGAGGCCCGGGGCCATAAACGCTGTTTTGGCAAATAGATGCTGTAAATGAAACTCAAGTCTTTGAAGGTCTAATATTGAGATGATAATACGCTCCGTGCGGGAACTATAGGGGGAGCTTTCAAAAACGCGCGTAGCGCCGCTAGCGGAGGAGCTGGCGTTCGACAGTGAGGCGCGTTCAGCAGCCTGCGGCGCCTTTTCGCGTGCGAAGCTTTGGCGGCGGAAGCGCGCACGGACGAAACTTTTGCTTTTCGAGCCGATAAGTTGAGGGTGGCGTTGCATGAGTGCTGGGAGAGATTTGAGAAAGGCATTTAGGCTGTTCTCCCCTCCTTATATATTGAGTTTGAGTTGTTATTAGGAGTAATTTCTTTAGTTGTGCTCGAAAAAGGGGTTTGAGAAATTTTCCGAAGAGCAAGACGGCCGCCACCATAATTGCTCTCAGTGGGAAATTTGTTTCGCTCGTCGCTGTAAACGTAGGACTGCTGGGACGATGATATTTGGAGGTGAGTGAGATGTTCCCTAAGTGGGCCAAGTTTTATTAAGACAGCAGGTGTGAAAGTTATGGTTCTAACGAATAAAGGAATAAAGCTGTAAGGAATATCCAATATTGGATCCAAAATCTTGTGTTATAACCGGGCTGTGCGAAGTGCAGATTTGGACACACAGTTTCTTGGACATGACCGTAACTTGACACAACAGTTATAATACCAAAAAAGTGAAAGCCGTCTACAACTTCCTGTAACGCCGAATTGGAGCGCAGCTCTTGAGGAGGAGGAGTGGAGGGTATATTCCTCCTCCTCCCTCGTGATCACGCCTGCTAGTCCTCCTCCCCTCCTGCTCCCCCTCCCTCTCCTTTACCACCTCCTCGTCCTTCAAGCTCCTCCCCTCCCCTCGCCTCCGCCTCCTCGTCTCTCCTCCCCCCCTCCTCCACCTTCGTACTGCTTTCCTCCTCGCCGCTGAAGTCATGTGACCCCCTCCCCCCGAGGTCACGTGACCCCCCGAACCAGACAATGAGGGGAGGAGGAGGAGGGGGAGGAGGAGGAGGGCAGAGGTCCGGGGGGTCACGTGACCTCGAGGGGACGGGATCACATGACCTTGGGCGGGCCGTCACGTGACTTCGGCGGGGGGAGGGGAGTCACCCCCCGGGGTCACGTGACCTGGGCGGGGGAGGAGGGGGGAGGAGGAGGAGCGGGGGGAGGAGGAGGGGGAGGGGCGACGCCGACGCCGACGCCGCACAGGCTGGAAACGGGTCATGTGACCCCCTCCCCCCGAGGTCACGTGACCCGCCCGGACCATACTACACAATGAGGGGAGGAGGAGAAGGACGGGAAGAGGAGGAGGAGGGGGAGGAGGAGGAGAGGGAGGGGCGCAATTACGCCGACGCCGACGGCGACGCCGCTCAGGCTGGAAACGGGCCCCTAAGAGCTGCGCTCTAAAATAGGTGGCATAGGGAAACCAGGTGGAAATTAGGTTTGGGCGGCGTAACTGAATGGGAAACGGTTTTGATCGTGAAAGGGCTGTGAAGAGAATACCACTGGTCGTGGGAGATGGAAACTTTTCAGGTAGGAAGAGACTACTGCACTGTAATTCCAATTGAAGCAACTTTACGAAAGGTGGCTTCAAAGCTGAGAAAACCAAGTTTGCCGGCCAATTAACACACGGTTCGGCCGTCAAAGGCTTTTGCGGTCAGCTGTTGTGTAGTAATCTGGTTGTGCGAGGGGCTGATTTTCGGCACACAGGTCTTGGACAACCGTAACTAGACAAAACACTTATTATACCTAAAAAAGATGGCATAGTTTAACCAGGTGGAAATATTTTTGAGCGGCGTAACTAAATGGGAACCGGTTTTGACCGTCAAAGGCTGTCAAGAGAATACCACTCATCATGGCCGGGAGGTGCACACTTTACAGGTAGGAAGGTACCAGTGGACGGTACTTCCAGTTCGAACAACTTTGCGATAGGTAGCTCTAAAGCCGAGAAAAAAAAAAATTGTCAACAAGACTCGGGGTGTCAGTGTTTCCACATCCAAAAGTAGGCCGATCAAAAAAGAAAGCACACCACATAAACTTCCATACTCAAACATCGATTGTCCATTCATTCCAAGTTTCATTGTAGTTTTCCTTAGATTCATATTGGTCGCTTTTTGTACCGTCCGAATCTTTCTTCATGAAGTACAGACCGCGTGCCATACTGGTCCGGAAATATCATTGACACGTACGAGGAGGACGAAACTTCCTTGGAGGGCATTCCTTCAACGAAATTCGCACTGCATACCCGTGAATGTGGGATGGCATTACTGGTACGAAAACAAACGGAGAGCGCAAAGCGGCAGTGTAGAATATGTCAGCCGTGCCGACGCAGTGGCAGACATGATCCGAAGACCAAATTTCTCGCGTCTTACGCGACCGGTCTATCGTTGTCACTGTCCCGCAAAACATCGGCGAGGTGAAAAACTGTAAAACTTTGTCCCCACAAGATACGACGCATAAATATTGGAGCACTTAACGACGCAGCAGTTCATGCTGTCAACCCAACGCAACCGCACCGCTCCGACTTCAATGCATACCAGTGTACGCGGCGTGGTTTCGTTTCGCGGGGACTCTCACTGCCTACCTTCGGTAACGGCCGCGCGGCGGCGCGCCGGTCGCGTCGCACGGAGTGTATAGACCCTTTAAATAAATAATTGGAGCACCATGTACACTCAAAATTTTTATGCTGCATTCACACGACAAAGCTTTAACTTTGGAGAAGGCCAAGTATGTCATAGAGCTGCAAGGAGAAAAAAACCGCGAGAATGAGAAGGCAGTTCATAAAATCCGAGTACCCCCTTCCGTGAGAAAGTGGCATGTAACTGAGTCGGCGAAGTCTTTCTTTTCGTGAACGTGTTTGCGACATTTGAGGGCTCTTTGGAAGAAAGATTTGGACAAAAGAAAAAGAAAAGGAAGGCACCCCACAGATCAGTGCTACTGACCATAATTCTTGCTCAAAAGGAGGGGGACCAATAGATCCCACGAGATGACAGATATCCTGCAAGTCGGTCGCAGATTTTTCGCGGCTCCCATAAGCTCAGGGAGTTAGCAAACATCCGTGACGCGGCACACGTCACCCAAGGACTTGACAACAGAAAATTTCCTCGGAAAAAAAAAAGCTTTGTCATGTGAATACGTCTCGGTGAAAGGTCTTCAGAAGTCATAATGGTCACAGAGGTGAGCAGGGTCTCCTCACGGGTTCTGCCTTGGGAGGCGGTGCAGCAGGGTTCGTGCCCTGACCAGGCTTGCCCTTGGGGGGTGCCTGCTGTTCGGGCACCAGGCCCGGCAGGGTGTCGGGGAACTGGAAGAACAACAGCTGGCCAACCTCTGCGAGAGCAAGTAGGGCCAGATTTAGACAGACCCTTTCACATATGCATAGTCAAGTTGCTCGTTAAGCTAAAAGCCTTTCCAAGCGGGACAGAGAGAAAACTTCAAGATAATCAAAACTGTAATTTAAAAAGAATATGTATCAAAACCTGGCAATGAAACTGCATGACTGTTCTCTCCATTATTTGGGTAAAATCATTAACATTACTATGATTTTCCTGCGATGCAACTGGTGCCACTAGGCTGTAGAGATTAATCCTTTGTTCTAGTTTGATACTTCTCAGACACCATGTCGCATTGTATTCCACCTTCCGTGCAACCTCCAGCAAGCACAACTGAATGGATTATCCAATACACAGAGGTAATCCCCATTTCGTTGGTTTTGGCAAAAAGGCGTTTTCAATGGCCGTCAAAACGTCGCACACGGAAACTGTTCGTTCAGTGCCTTCACCAAAGCAGACAGTTCTGTTTAGCTTTGAAGTTGGCCACAAGGACCATATTTGTTTTTGTTCAGCAATGATCTTTCTTGAAACAGAACTTACCGTGTTTGCCGATTCTTCTGCGCAGGTAAAATAATGAAGATTGAACACATACTTCATAGAACAGATTTTATGAAACGCACGCCAACACAGAAATAAACACCGTGCACAAGTCATCGTTGTCAGTGTCCAACAATGGTTCTTTGCTGTCCGCAGGAGCTAATCCTTGCATTCATCTGAAGTGTTTTAAGTGCCGAACTTCTTGCGCTTGTATGAGTGCGTGACACTCGCTTCTGGGAGCGTCGTCCTTTAAACAACACTGCGAGCTCGTCAGGTACTGGGCTTGCGAGGCCACATAATGCAGCTCCGTTGTTATCTTTTCCCGCCAACGTGATGGCCTTTCGTGTAAAAGCCCCCTAGTGGAATTTCTTTTCTTTTTCCATCTTAAAACGGCAGACACGAGCCCGTAGGTGCAAGAGAAGGGGCGTGATACAGATACCAAAATGGCAAAGGTAAACAAATGGTCACAATGGCAATGGGGCTAGCCACCTTATGTTGAATATTGTGTTTTTCATTTGGCTCTATTCAGATAAGACCACGCAGGCAAGCCCAGACATATTTTTTATATGCTACTCCTCAATATGTGTAGGGAACATAATCAAAGAAGATTTTGCAGAAAACATATTTAAAGAGAAAAAAAAAAACTTTGAGAGTGCCAAAATGGCATATTTGATTTTGAAGTTTTTGTTTATGCCATGTTTCGTGACACCTACTATGCAAACTACAAATTTCAGAGGCCCAACTCACGAAACGATCTCACGCTGAAAATATGTGAACGACAAAACGTAAGAACAAATCCATATTCACGAAACAAAATTATCGTAACTTTTGTACAGGTTACGATGGAATTCTACGACAGCTACGGAGCTGTCTTGCGCGCTTTTTACGATCAAATCAACATGGCCGACAGCGTCGCTCAGTTACTTGGTCGCCACGACCAACAGAAATTTATTTTTCTATGTGCTCTTCTTGCACTTTCCGACTTCAAGCAGCAAGAAAAAAGAAAGAGGTACTTGAAACTGACCACGATGAACATGAACGATGGAACCACAAGCACCCGGGAAAAGCTACAATGGCAACAATCCCACCAACCAAGCAAACTCGGCAGAATATAGGCCTAGCAGGCACTCCGGTGCAGCGTTGCTCCGACGGCACTTGGCCAAGACCGTCTGCCCACGACCAGCTGGCTTGCTGAATGAATTATGTCCGTGCGACCCTTGTGGACCCTTCTTGTATTAACGGTTTGATCACTGAACTCAATTTTAGATTAAGAGGTCAATCGCTTCCCCTTGTCATCACCTTGTTTTCTGAGGCAGCAGTGACGAACGCTGTCGTTGAAAAAGGACTCTTGTCAATTATATCTGCTTGTTCTGTGTTATATAGAGCTCAAATAAATGCTGTATGGATTACCTCTGCAACAAAATATGTGCACTTTGTTATTAGTATGCCCCTTTTATTGACATGACGGTACGTCACTGTGAAGCTAAACAGTTTGTAGGAGCTACGCGATGCCGGTCCAACCATTCTTTGCCGAGTGTCACGTCAGTATCGAGTTGCAAACGTAAAAGATTGGTCCCGAAGCGCTTACCAAGATGCAGTCCAACAGCGCGAATCCAGCACTTCGATCAAATGCGTGCATCTGCTCCGAGTGTGAACAGGTGGCTCTTGCTAACACTCTCGTAGATCAAACTTATCTTTTTTTAACGTCGGCTCTCTCCTCCATCTTCAAGGCCGCGAAAAACGCCACAGTGGTTTGTTCCTATCTATCATAAAATTCCGTAAGGACGTCCACCCAAAATGAAGAGATAAATGATGAAAATCATGGGGTGGGCTATTTTCGGGGATGCCACAGCAAAACTTAATAAAAAATTATGATAAGCGGGGCGGCACCCACTACAAACCACGTGACGCGGGAACTGATATCGTGGACACGGCAAATTCACGTTTCACGATGCAATAAACACGTGGGAATTCGCTACAAACTCCTGTGTCACGGGAAAGGACACCGCAAGTGGCCAACGCAGCAGATTCGCGTTTCACGGTGCGAAGGACTCTCGGAAACCCACCGAGAACTCGCATCTTATGCGAACGGATACCGCAGATCGCGGACGCAGCAGATTCAAGCTTCACGGTGCAATAAAAGGGAGCTTTTGTAGACCGCGTGCCCCCCCCCCCCTGCTAAGCCCTCCACAATGAAGCAGCCGCTACTGCGCAGGCGCGCCGATGGCCTTGACTGCAGAGTTCCAGCTAGCGTAGCTGGTTGCGAAGAGCGTTGCAGGACAGCGGAAACAATCTACGAGAACTCCCTAAAGATGCGGGAACCCGCTACAATCTTGCCTGTCACGGAAACCGATAATGCGCGTGCAGATTGCGGACAGAAACACGAGAATACGCTGCAAACTCGCATGTCCCGCAAAAAATTTCCCTCAGATCGCGGACACAACAAAATCACATTTCACAATGCAAATGCAATATACACGTGAGAACTCGCGCGTGTTACAACTAAAAATTGATATCGCGCGCGCAGATCGCAGACAAAAACACAGGAATCCGCTTTAAACTCTGGAACGGACACCGCAGATACCGAAGGCAGCAGATTCGCATTACACAATGCAAATGACACGCGGGACCAACTCGCGTGTTACGCGAGCCGATATCCACGCAGATTGCAGACAAAAACTAGGGAACCCGCTACGAACTCGCTTCTCGGACACCGGTACCGCCAATCACGCCGTTGATGCGTGACTCCCGTCGGACATCGCTTGACGTCCAACGGAAATCGGAGGGTGGGCGATGTTTCGGAATTTTTAAGTTACAGATATTTAGCCAGAAAAACGGGATGAACAATCTCTCGGGGGGGGCGCCCTTACGGGATTTTACGGTATGCCACTTTGTAAACAACTGGCACGGGCCACCTTTTACCAACGATGACAGTTGTTGACTACGAAGCGATAGAGTTCGTAGCAGTCAACGAAGGCGGTTTTCTCGACCTCAACATTCGGGCGCGTTTAGATCGTGTTAGCATCAACATACTGCTGCACGGACACAAATTCCAGACAAGCAGTTAAAAATCCATATGCTCCGAACCATGCCGAGCTCTCTGATTGGTAGTTTGTGTTGCCGAAGACGCCGTCGCCATAGCAACAGCACCGAAGTTCTAGTTTTTTTGGTACGAGAACGTCGCTTTCCTCCTCTCACTTGAGAACGCGTTTGTGAATATTGATTTCTCCTCTTCTTATGGTGTTCTTAACTTACAAACTTCTTAGCTAAGTTGTCATAAACTAAGAAGCTCTTGTATATTAATAGATCATGGGAACTATTGAGTGTTATATGTACAGAATTGTAAAGGTAATATATTTTGTGTCAAAAATGCGCAAACTGGCTCCTTTTAAGTTTCATCACAAAGTTTCTGAGCCATTATCTAAAAAAATTTAATAGCTACAACATTAAAACTTACGTCATACACTGTTATTATAACATTCTTTCGAATGATATATAAATCATTGCTTTATCTCAAACGTTGAAGTTTTTATGTTACTCCAAACTTGTTTTAAATTACGAAGTAAAAAGATTTCAAGGGGGAATTAAAAAAAATTAAAAATATCTTCAACTTCCTTGAAATTTATAGTGATAGCTTTCCACCATCCTCTTGTCTTTATTCATGAAGCATATGTTGCATCATTTTGTTTCCTTCAAAGTTACAGCACTGCAAAGTGTACCTTCCACGCCGGCATTTTCGCCCAATGCTACGGACGAGATTATTCTTTGATTCCGTGCGTTTGATGACTAGATTTATTTTTTTGTGCTGTATTCGGATATTGGGCTCAACTTCAAGTATTCTACTAATTAAAACAATACCTGCTTTGCTCGTTCCTCTTATAAATTTAACCAATAATCCTGGTTTTTCCTTTAAAATGACAAGTTCTGTGAGCTTCAGCTGAACTACTTCCGCAAAAACGGGACAAAAACTTGTAATCGCTACTACAGTAAAACCTCGTTATAACAAAGTTGAAGGAGCGGTCGTAATTATTTCGTTATAACCATTAGTTTGTTATAGCCAATGTCCATTTCTTCCCACTATTAGCAAGCAAGGGGAATTATGATTGCTTTGTTATATCCATTAGTTTGTTATATCCCATTTTGTTATAACGAGGTTTTACTGTACTACATTGTTTTTTTTACAGAAAATAGTAAAAAAGTAGGTACAGTGGTGAAAATGATATGCGAATATTTATACCTATATTTGCAATAAAGTGGGAATGTTTGAGCCACCAAGCTTGTTACACTGCTATTCATGACTGTTGTATGTCCAGCTGACCAAGGTAAACCTACAACTTCAATGGCACTTTCAGTAAGATGTTTGTTAAGATTAAAAATATTTGTAATTATTTATTTTACTATAAAATAAAAACAAAATTAAAGAAGTAAAAAAAGAAATAACGAGTAAAGATATTGAGCGCAGTATAGTTGCCTGCGTTGGCAGGAGGGCGTCTTGAGAACTCTGTCTTTTGTACCTCTTCAAACGAGACTGACTAATTCCGCGAAGCACTCACCTGTGCTGCAATAATTTCAACGAGTGCAAGAAAACCGGTCAACTGCAAATGTGGCAACATTACAAGGACACCCATGAGCCCAATCCTCTTCTAAGAATCGACATCCAGATCTACACGCTGCGAAAATTTCTCTGCTTTGCTATCTCCTTTTTGTGTTTACTAAGATAGCACAAAATACTTTACGGATGCTGTAAGTCGCTGCCATGGGTGAAGACGTTCTGTCAAGACGCAACTCCCACATCAGTTATTGTTGTATAAATTGGCTTTGCTAAACATAGATTTAAACGTCCTGAACTGGATACGAAATTAGTTAGAAGGCCGAGAGCAGTGTGTTGTCCGAAACAGTACTGTATCTACATCAACTCGGGTTACGTCGGGTGTGCCACAAAGGAGTGTCTTAGGGCCTTTACTTTTTCTCATATACATAAATGACATCACCGAAAATATACAGTCTCATATTGAAGTGTTCGTCGATGACTGGGAATTATACAGGGAGATAAACACGTCAGACGACCTTGCCCATATTACAAACCGACATAAACATTTTACCTTCTTGGTGCAATCAATAAAAAATGAGCCTAAAATAAGTAAATGCAAACATATACGTTTCTCGAGAAGTAAGCTGCACGATTCTCAAAGCTACCTAATCAACGGGACCACTTTATGTGCTGTGTTCGAGTATGTTTACCTAGGAGTGCTATTTGCAGATTCCCTAAAATGGAACAGCCATATAGGGCATACAATCGGAAAGGCTAGTAAAATCTTTTATTTTATCCGCCAAAATTTTAGATTCGCGTCACAAAACGTTAAACACTTTATTTTTTCTGCTAAGAAAGACCCTTGATTATACGTGCGTTGTGTGGGACCCTTATCAAGACTTCCTTACTAATAAACTAGAAAAAAATTCAAAATCCGGCCGTGCATTTTGTACTGAGCAACTATGACCCTTATGCTAGTGTTAGAGATATGAAAGCTATGCTGGGATAGGAAACACTCGAATGTAGAAAAAAAAAACTAAGACTAAAATTCTTCCACAGTGTCTTTCACAACAAAAGAGAAATTGATAAAGCCTCATCCCATTGTGATCATTCTAAAAAGATTGCTGTTCCCACTTACAGGACTGACAGTTTTGCTAATCCATTATTTGTCAAAACCGCGAGAGAGTGGAACGACCTCCCGGAAGATATTCTGTCCATTGATAATAATCACGTTTTCTTTTTTCGACTTTCCATAATGCTTTCTAAAGACCCCTACAATAATGCCCGCACAGCGATGTAGGTACAATGAAAATAAATAAATAAATAAATAAACTACATGGGACTGGCAACCACTTCGTTTGCTTATAACCACAGAACACGTGTTGAATTTGCCTAACGGTTGGAATACCTTGCGACCTCCTTAAAGCATGACAGGAAAGAGAAAGAAGAAAAATAATGCATTATTAGCTTTCCTATGAAGCAACATACAGAGTAAGTCTAAGCATGTGGCAATCAGTTCCTCCGAAAAGAAAAGTGCACCACGAGAAAACGGACGATAGCAGCGTGTGCTCTGCGGTCCATGCCCCTTTAGGTTCACAAGGGGGGCCACCGCTGGCTTCTGGGGTTTGCTTTCTGTCTGAGCCGCCACATTTCTGATTTTACGCTGATTAGGTAGGCGCCACTAGTATTGCGCGCGCCACTTTTAGGGCTCACAACGTTTTGATTTAGACGCCGGCGTTGGCTCCCGGGGATGACAGTATATAGACAAAAGTTTTCCGGTGCCGCCAGCGAATCAAATGTCCCTCTGCAAACTGCGTGCACGTGGAGACAGGGTTACAATGGATGATCTTCATACCTCGTGACTCTAAGGTTGGTTTCATGGGTGGTCATGAGGGTCTTTAGCCTTCGCGATTTTGCTTTGCTTTCCGATCTGTCACGTCAAATGATTCAAGGCGATAAAACAGCTTCCGCATCGGTAGACATAATAGAACGCATTGAAAAACCACAGAATACACAGAAAGAATACAAAGAACAGAACTGTGTGCATCTGTGTTCTTCCTTTACGTGTTTTATTCTTTCTGTGTATTCCACGCCGGTAGAACGCCATCCTTTAAATACACCGACGTGATTATCGACCGTTTTGCCGGGATAAATTCAGGCCTAGTTTTGTCTGCTGTTTCAAGAAGAGCTCGCTGCCACGTACGTAAACTAAGACAACCAGAGAGCCGTAGTTGAACTTGCTCCACAGGGACTTTTGAATTCTCTTCCCAGAACGCTGAGGCCGTGAGAGAGCGTCACTCAGCTTGTGCATTCCCTATTTGCCACATTCGGAGTCGACCGATTATCTCGCACTCGTTGGAATTATTGCAATACACGCAAGTGCTTAGAGAAATTCGTCAGTTAGGCTTAAAGAGGAGCGAAAAACTGACTTCTCAATACACCCTCCCGCCAACACGAGCAACTGGTGCGCTCAATATCTTTACTCTTTTTTGTTTTGTTTTTTACTTTTTTTTTTGTTTTATATTTTTCATTTCACTCGGGAAAATAATCCCAAATATTTTTCATCTTAACAAACGTCTTGCTGAAAGTGCCAGTGAAGTCGCAGGTTTACCTTGGTCAGCTGGGTGTACAACCGGCATGAACAGCGGTGCAACAAGCTTGATGGCTCAAACATTCCAACTTCATCGCAAATATAGGTATAAATATTCAAATATAAAATTTCATCCCTGTACACACTTTTTTTACAACTTTCTGTAAACAAAATGTAGTAGGAAGTAGCGATTACAAGTTTTCGTCCTGTTTTTGCGAAAATAGTTCAGCTAAAGCTCATAGAACTTGTCGTTTTAAAGAGCAGAACAGGATTATTGGTTAAATTAATAAAATGGAGGGGCAACAAGGGTATTGTATTAATTAGTAGAGTACTACTTGAACTTAAGCCCAATACCCAAAAACAGGGGAAAAGCTATATCTAGTCATAAAATACAAGGAATAAAAATATTCTGACATAAAAAGTGATAAAAGAAGTCATAAAAACAAAAAATGTCGGCGTGGGAGTATGGTACACCTTGCAGTGCTGTAACTTTGAAGGAAACAAAATGATGCAACATGTTTCTCATAAATAAACACAAGAGTATGGTAAAAAAACTATACTATAAATTAAAAAAGAAATTGAAGCGTTTTTTTTTATTTCTTTGGAATTTTTTTTTTTTTTACTTTGTAATTTAGTACAAGTTTGGGGTGACATAAAAATGTCAATCTTTGAGAAAAAGATATTATATATCTATCATTCAAACGTTTTAATAACAATATATGACAAATTTTAATGTTTTAGCTATTCAGGTTTTGTAGATAACAGCTCAGAAATCTAGTGACAAAACGTCCAAAAAGCCATGTTTGCACATTTCTGATGCAAAATATATGACTTCCACAATGCTGTACGTATATCACTTAATAGTTCCCATGAACCTACTATAAGTGCAAAATATTTCAGATTTTTGATCTTTGTAGTTAGCATAGTAGGTGTCACCAAACATGAAATAAACAAAAACTTGAAAAATCAAAATTTCTGATACACTCAATTTATTTTTTCTCTTTAAATATGATGTTTTTTACAAAATCTTTTTTGATCACATTCCTTACACACGGCGAGGAGTAACATATAATAAAATTAACAAAAACAAAATATGTCCTGACACACATGCATATCTTATCTGTGCAGAGCCTTCCGAGTTTCAGTTTTTGGTTTCAATGGTAATACGCATGTAGTTTCGGGCACTGATGGTGGCGAAAAAAAAGTGTGTGTTAGAACTGTGCAAACACGGTGCATTCTGAAAACATGATCAGTTTAATCATAGCGGCTAAAAGACCGGTATAATTAAACTGATACTGATGAAACAGTCTGGATCTCTTCACTTTATGAAAGAACTATTTTGTGCAAACAGCTAAAGAAAACGGAATGCCTCCTCGCACCTGACACGCAAGGAGGTCATCATATGCAGCAGTTTTAAACCAATCACATCCGATCGTCCTCCAAATGAGTAACAAGACAGCAGCGTGCTGAAAGAGGTGCACTGCTACACTCCCCAGATCAAAATTAAAACTACTCGAACTACGGGCATTCCACCCACCTGGCATGTTGGGGTCCATGCACAACTCGGCCATGGGTGCCCTTGCCAATGGGGCCTGGGGCTCCACCTTGACCGCCGGCGGGGGCGTGGCCATTGCCCCCTCCCCGTCTGGGTCCATCTTCTCCTTCTTGACCACCACTGGCTTGGTGTCCTCCTCCTCCTCCTTCTTGACGCAGGCCAGGGGCAGCGTGACCGGATGAAGTCGACTTGCCTCCTGGTCTCCATCGTCGATGAACTGCAAGCACCGAACCGGCGTTCCGGGACGCTCTTACAGACGTCGACCAAAGGTGGCTCGAATGCCCCACAGATGCAACCATGGTGCGTCACCCCTCCATTTTATACCGAATCTCCTCGGTCATCCCTGACCCTTGACAAAGTGCTCTTCCAGTTTAAGCTCCATTTTACAAGGTCTAAGACAACGACTGAAGCATAACTAACAATGTGCGAGACACCCTCTAGTATGTACATGGCCGCTTGCAAGGTACGTAGGCTTCTGTGCTGCTTTAATGTATCTGGACCGAAGTTGAGAGGTGTTCCTTGACTATCAAATATGAAAAATGGGTGTTCCTAGGGATTGAAAACTTTACAAACCCCTGTTCTACGGAAGAGAAGACAGTGAAGGAAGGCAGGGTAACACGCAGGATAATGCTTGCCTCCCTTCCAAAGAGCCCTGGTAGTTGCCTCGTGTAAAGCAGCCAAACCCAGACCTTCAATAGCTCTCGAAGACAGAATGTAAACCTTATACTATGCGCTATAGTGTATCCTGGCTACTGTAACAGACAAACGGTTATCATGTTCGAGTCTTATAAAGGTAGTGGCTATGGCTGTTCTTATGTGTAATAGAAAACCAGCAATGCCCTTTCCAAATGCTTCTGCAGACTGTTTGTCTGTGGCATGAGATGCGGTCGTTTGGCACCTTGAAGAATGAACTTATGATCAAATAGCCAACCATTCTCAACTGCATTTCATGACCCACGTCGGTTCAAGGACAGCATTAGGTGTGGTCAAACCATATCTGTCGACAATTCTTGAGGAAAGAGCTGTCAGACTCACGTCGCTGCGCAACAGCAGGGCCAGCCTCTTGTCATCCTCCTGCTTCTCCTTGGCGGTCAGAGTGTGCGAGGGGACGTACTTGGGCCTCTCAGGCGCGCTGCCCGAGTCTGAGGATGCCACCGAATGCCTTGCACCTACGAAGCAAGTTCACCTCATTTTGGGAGCGAAACTCACCCTATCCCGACATGCCAGGGGTCTCGAGCAGGCTTCTCGAAGTAGCGAACCCAGAGTTACGACGGCCTTAACACAATGCCGATCGTATTGAGCTAGCCTCGATAACATAGGTTCGGCAAAGCTCTTGCGATTGAATTCCGTTAAAATAGTGGCTCTACAATGGCAGATATTTTAGGTATGGTTGTGTCAATGCAGCATCAAAAGTACTGTTTGCCCCAGGATTAAAATTATTGAGCAATCGAGGCATTCGCATTTATAGAGTGCACAATGAGGCAGCTGCAGTGGGTAGGCAGCCTCAGCACCACACAAGATTTCGAAGCTCCTACCATATATTTATCTAAGTTACAATTCTGAAAAATGTTTGTCACAACTTCACTAGTTTTGAGATGTTTCTTTGCCACATGGACATGCACGCAGAGTAAACCCCGTTCAGCGTCAAGCCTACGCCTGCAGTCTCAGTTAGAGTTACAATTGAAGAATAAAGAATTGATAAAGCGCATTGAGAAAAACCCCAAAGCAAATCGAATACTTGCGGCCCACACGGATGTCATCCTGAAATGTTCAAGTTCTCTAATTTCAACTAATGACCTTTCCCTTTGCCATTGCTTCTAGTGAACAAACTTCTACTTTCTTCCCTGGCTACTGAACAATATGATGCTCAAGAGGAGAGTGTGCCAAGACCCACCTGGCCTCCGTGTTGCTTCCCCAAGCCCGTCCGCGAAAGTAGAGCCCTGCGTCTGGATGAGCTGCGCCTTGCCGCGGCCCCTGCTGCGACCTCTCTCACTCCCACGGCCGCCCCGGTGGCCCCCCCTGCCAGGCCTGCCACCTTCCGCGACGCTAGGTCCACTGCAATAGACCACAACAAATCGGAACACATCGAACAAGCACAAAGGAAGCCAGTGCATTTGAAAACATTCCCTGTTGGAATATAGTCTACATACGCCAGCTAATGCAATTCAGCTTTCTATAACGCCACGAAGAGGGCTACTAGCTCCTTAAAAGCTTCTGGAATTCTGAAAAGATTATTTCATTTCTTTGTACAGAGCCTTACACTGTAGTGTCAAGACACGGCACAAATATTTTTGTAAGGTGAGTCAAGTGTAGACTGTGGTGCCAGGGACTCCCAGAGTTGGCGGGGGTCGCTTGGATCGTATAGGTCGCCACAACTACGCGTTCAAAAATTACCTTGAACGAACATGTTCACAGTGTTCCAGTGGCTTTAAAACAAAATGCATCATGGATCCCATCATTTCCATTAATGACAACATATCACTTCTCAAATATTCCGCTCGGTGTCGTCATTGCTCGCGACTAAGAAAAAGAGTGGGTGAAGCTAATATAGGCCAGTTGAAAATAAGCCAAAGTTATTTAGTTGAACTTTTTTTTTTTTTTAATCGCCTTTATGGGTTTTGTTTTTATAGAAATCTAGCCACTCCTAAAAGATCTGTCAGTGTCCCTTTTAAATAGATGGAACGTGTATGCCCCCACTGATATGCAAGGGATGAGTCCCCTATGTGGGTAAGGTCAGGCGAAGTGGAATGGTTCACCAGCCCCCTTGGCAGATATATAACGAGTGCCCACCTGTCATTGTCCTTGGTTGGAGCTCTGCGGGGTGCCGACACGTTCGGTGCAAATGTCCTCTTTTGCGCCCCTCCGGAAAGAGTCAGGTCTCTTGGAGCTCGAAGTGAGGGAAGCCTGTACATTCGAACAGCACTCACCATACAGGTCGGAAAACAGCTTAATAAAGCGAACAAAGAGTTGCCACAAAAGCTTTTTACAAAATAGGAAACAGCTGCTGCCATCTCACGGTGTTACAAATCTGTAGCACTCAGTGCCGTCACAACAGATAACATGTTCCTTGAAACAAATTAACTAATGTCCACGAAGTGGTAGCAGTGCGAAAAAGATACACGGACAAAGGGAGGAATGGACAGGACGGGTGCTGAAAGTCAAAGCAAAAGTCGGTGCCCTTCGTCTGCGTATTTTTTGCGCGCTGCTACCAGCTTGTAATCACGTACCAACTCGCCTGCATCGCTACATTGATTTAGCTAATGTCTCACCAAAATGACAAAAAAATAATAGAGGTAGAAGGCAGCTGATGACATCACCGTTGCAAATGAATTTTCCCCAAGGTGTCTTACCTTGTGGAGAGAGCTCTCGTGCACAAGGTGCCTCACAGGATGCTCTCATGCACGTGTAGTCTTTTCAGAGCATTGGCATTTTGCAATGGGGAATCCAAACTGTTTTTATTTCTACATTTTTGGGACAAACGTCTACACTAGAGGCGCTTGTAGCAACTCAATCTTTGCCGCTTCACTGCTACTTTGTTTCTAGAACATTCATGTTATTTTGATTCACACATTCATCCACAGTCGCCAAAACCGTTAAGCATTGACAACTCTGGGTCCGGCCTATGGCGTGCTGGGTTAGAAGAGAAGGCGTGGCGATTGTTAGCTTCTCCAAACAGTCGTGAGCAGTCCCACACTTCATGCCTCACACTATTCCCATGGTGAAACCTGTAAGTTGGCAGCAGTGCCACAATGGCAAAAGCCAGTTAATCCTCTAGAAATTGAGTTCTCAATAAAAGGGAACAGGCAGGAAATATAAAACAAAATATAAGGGATTGTGTTCCCATTTATGGCTGAGAAATACCTCTGCGGAGTGTAATAAAACAATCGCTCCACCCATTCTTATGAGCATCTTTTCTAGCTCTGGGGTGCAAGGTGGCGCTCCTTCCCGCAGACAGACTATGCAGTGCTCTGTAGGCTTGAATCGAGGGACCACTCTTGCCCGCGCAATCGTAACGCCTCCCCTTCTAGCCCACCAGACCTACAGAGTTTGCCACCGTGCACAACACTTTGACTGAACCCTTTAAATTGGGTGGCGGCTTGCGCCACCTATCTGCTCACCTGGCACCCGGTGGGAAAGGTGTCCCGCTTCTCGCCAGAACACCCCTGGGTAGCTGGGGGCTGCTCTTGCCAGGGGTGCCATTTGCAGGGCCACTCATATCCCCAACTGCAGGGAAAACGTCGTGTCAGCTCCCATTGGCACAAGTCTACACGCCATCTCAAGACTCGTGCCTCCATACAACATGTTCAGAATGGCAGTCGACCTCCCCATAATAGACATAAGGGTTGTAAAGAATCAAACATTGATGAACACACGCTGATATAACACTTTATGTGACGTTACAGCTGCGCTTCTCAATGCTCAGCACATGCTGACAGCTGGTCCTCACTTAGTGTGCGGAATCAGGACGGTGAACGTTTGGCATTACCATATGACCAGTAGTAACTAATATGGGTTCCAATCGATATGACACAGGTCAGTCATGGTCATGCTATTTCCGCAATGCTTTTTGCTGCGTCTAATAAACCCACTTCTCCAAGCGGTCGGTGCGTACGTAACACGGCCATAACTTTAGTCCAAAGAGCTGCCCTGTGCATGCTTTGCATGCACAGGCCAGTAGAGAAGTTGTCGCACGTGCAGAAACACTGAAGTATCCTCGGAACATCGCGGCAGGCGGCGTAGCCAAACCGGCTTGTGAGATCGGTCTGCTGACTTCGTATCACTTTTTTTTTAAATTTTTTTTAAACACGAGTTTTTGTGGCACGTAAATATAGATTAAAGAAATGACGCTAGGCAAAGTATTTATGTATAAAATAAAATAATAAAGGCGTGAAAGCTAACTTAGGATGAACTTATCTAAGTTACACCAATGTTTTGAAGTTATAACTTATCGAAGTTACAGCCTCAAAACGGCAACCGGCGTTTCACTAATAGACACGGAACCGCCAAGAAATTATAGGCCAGTTATCGAACCACTCGCTGCTCGTCTAACGACTTTTGAGGAGTTTATTCTTGAGAACTGGCAGGACAGTCATCCGAAAACAGGCTTACGGCACGCAGACTCGCCGGCGCTTCCAGAGTTCAGTCACATCGGGTCTCGCTACCATCAGGACGGCATGCTTCGTCTGTGTTTTGCGCTAAGAACCTTAAGCAAGTTATTAAACTGAGTGACTAAAAAGAAAACTACAGAGGTGTAACAGAAGTTTTTAGTGGTATGTGTAAGGAAGCTTCACGTGTGCGCGAAACGACAGCAGCGTGCGTTGGCTCCTTTAGCTTTTGACGGGACCGATGCGCCACATGCGACGACTTAGCAAACTAAAGAATAAAAAAAAGCTATACATAATTAGGTAGCCGCGTCGGTATTAAAGAGGCCATGTCAGAAGGTACTAATAACTATTTATTTCCTGGTTTTAAAGGGTTTTTCTACTCGTTTCATTTGACTTACTCGACTGCAGTTTTTGCTAGTTTCGGTTTCGGTGCCAACTAATGTCACGACTCAGAAACCCGTTGCCCGAAGACCGATTCTTCTAAAGTTTCCTCGGTTTCCTCACGTTGCTCGCTAACTTTAACTATGTGTAATACTTTATGCGTCAAAATAAAAAAAAAAAAACTTTTTTTTTTTTTTTGACAATACAGGACCCGAAATATTTTCCCCAAGTTCAAAGGCACGAGGGCATATATTCATAAGAAACAGAAACAGAAAGATGTGTTCTACAAAACTACGTTCAGTGCGCAGGCGAGCTGGTGGAAGTTTACCATGATTCTTTTAACCCGAGGCTAATGCAAAATATTTTTTTTTTTGAGTTGAAGAGAAAGTAGCAGGGAAAGACAGCGTTTCTAACTCAGCTAATTATTTTATTCAACCAACCTCCTTATATACAGAACTTCAACTGCCACAAAACCACCGAATATCCTGTTTTTTTTTGTTTTTTTTTTCTTAGGGTCGCGCGCAAAATGCTCACTCATATGACGAAACAAAGTGATATCATCCACAAAGCACAACATCCTTCCGGTTTGGACAAAAAATTTTCCAGGCAGCTTGAGGTCACTAACGTTATACAATTCTTTTGAACTATGACATGCACACACACAGTGACACCTTTGATTGGTTTACACAAAAAGTTTCTGAACTACCATCTCAAAAAACCACACTACAGAAAAAAAAAAAAAAAAAGAGGCCCTGAGCGATAGTTTTTTATTGTTCTTATACGGAGTGTCTCTCTTACAACTCTCTTAATGTGCGTCTTGGTGTACTATTTTCACTCCTGATTATTGTGCACTACAATTATTGCATTCGTCCACGTGTTTGGATAATTAAGAATTCGCGGCATCTCACGGTGCTTTTTCTTTTTTTTTTCATCCATTTGAATTTGTCTGAATCGGTGTGAGACTACTTAACTTAAAATCTGAACTGAAAACGGTGTCTAATCCGAACTGTTTTTTCAATTGCTTTCAGATTTTGCGATATTTTATGATAATACGGGATTAACGCAAACTTCCTCGTTGATTTCTGTTCTTCACATTTGTGTGCGATTTGTACATAATTGTCTTTTAATCAGTGGCGTAAATTTTTTTCGAGGGGGGGGGGGGGGGGGGGTGTGAGGTGGTTTTGATGTCCATGATTTGGGGTGTGGAGAGGGGGAGGAGGGGTCAAAATGCATGTGTATATTATAGGGTCGGCTAGATTTCGGGGGGAGGTGGTGGGGGGGGGGGGGGGGGGGGGGCTGAAGCCTCATAAGCCCTCCCTCCCGGCTTTGTTCAATCGTTTCAACTGCCTTTTTAACAATTGAGTCATAAAATGAATACAAGGCCTGTATAGTGCATTCCTTCACAGTTTTTGGGTGGCAACCTAATTTCGATGGCACTGGTTTTGAGCTTTCCTTGCCATACTCCCAGCACAACCGTTCTTCAGTATGAATTAACAAATATAAAAACTGAAGGACTCTATTCTGAAATCTTTTCACCTTGAACTGAAGCTCGGGTGCTGCTTATCTAATCAATATTTCTAGGCTGTTTGATAGACCTTTGCGAAAAGAGTGTATATGACGACTCTTGCAACCTATCAGACGCAGCAACCTATTAGACACAACAAAATCCAAGGAGTTCGGGTAAACTCCAGTTAACGCCGGTGCAACAGACGACCTATGCACACTCCTTTCTGTATATAGTTTTTTTCTCCATATTCTACAACTGTCGACTGGAGTTAATACTAAAGAAGAGAAATAAAACCATCTATGAAAATGCCTGATTATAATTGAAATTTAACCAAATTCAATTCCAGAACCTCTTTCAGCGTTTTCAGTAGACGACTCTTTTTCAAGTGAGTAAAAAAGATCTTTGATGTCCATTGAAAAAATTGTGCACTCCCTTCCATGCTGACCCTTGTGTAGTTCGATCAACTTGTTTGAATTCCATAGAAACAGAGATTAGTCTAGATGAACATGGCCTAAACCCCTTTGAGGAAACTCACAAACAAGCTTCTGCCATGTCTCGAAGTGACATCTCCGGTTGTTTTTTTTTTTTTTTTTTATCTTTCTGTTTTATCTTTTAGGGAAAACTGCACACTTAATACCAACCACGACGATCCCCCTAGGGCTTAGGTTATTTGCCACACCTTCGAAATCGCCTTCTTTTGAGATTGTACTTATATTCTTACTTATTTTCCCTATACCACCCCATTCGTGGAACAATGAGTTCATGGCTGTGTTTTTTTTAAAGGACGACTCAGGTAGAATAGCAAATCTACCGGACTTAATATACACATGCGCCTTGTCCTGTTTACTCTCCTCTTTGTCATGTCGGGTTTTTTTTTTGTTTTTTTGGCGCTTTATATTTTGATTATGAACCAACTGGCCCGAATTTCCACTTTGCTGCTGACATATTAGTTCGTAACAGTTGGAATGACCTAGTTTTTTAAGTCATTTTCGACTGTTTTAATGTCGCGGAAACTTCTTTACTCACTTGGGTACGCATTGCCTATTACGTTTTCCATTTTACCGACAGCAACATCTACAAACGCCGCTTTCTCCTCGGGACTGAGTCAGTCCCGAGATGAAAGCGGCATTTGTAGATGCTCACCACCCTCGCAACTGTTTGTATAGACAAAAAAACTTCCAACCTCCATGGTTTGACATTTATATAGTGCTTAGGTCCTTTTTCCAACACTTTTTGCGTCTTTTTCGTCAAAAGTACACCACTTGGGTTAGATTTAATTAAATTTCAATCACAATCCGGCATTTCTATAGATAGTTTTCTTTCTATTCTCGAGTATTACCTTCAGTCGACGGTTGTAGAATATAAAAAAAATACACATAAAAAGAGGGAGTGTGCAGAGGGTCGTCTGTTCCACCCACGCTAGCTGAAATTTACCTGAACTTTTTGGATTGTTTTGTGTCTGATTGGTTGGAAGAGTCGTCAGATACATGTATTGTTAAACGATATGTTGATTACAAAGTGATTTGCTCTCTTCGCAAAGGTCTATCAAACAGTTTAGAAACATTGATTAGATCCTTAGCGCTTGAGCTTCAGTTCACGGTGGAAAGACCCAACGATGCAGTCCTTCCGTTTTTAGATTTGTCAATAGGGTTATGCTGAGAGTAGGGCAAGAAAAGTTCAAAACCAGATCTATCAAACCTAAGCTGCCACTCAAAAACTGTGAAGGCGGGGTAGTTAAATGATTAACATGGAATGCACTATACTGGTCTTGTATTCATTTTATGACTCAATCGTTGGAAAGACAGTGGAAAACATTGAAGAAAGCCGGTTATGAAGATCAGTTCATCAAAAGAAAAATATATCTACAAATCCCGGACCAGGTGAAGGAGAACAAAAATAAAAGAACAAGTCTGCTGTAATGCCGTATTGCCCTAAAATATTACATAATCTGAAAGCAATTGCAAAACAGTTCGGAGTAGATACCGTTTTCAGTTTAGATTTTAAGTTAAGTAGGCTCACGCCATTTCAGACAGGTTCGAGTGGATGCGAAAAAGCCCACAGTGAGAAGTCTGTCAAAACTGGAGTAGTATATGAGATACCTTTTGACTTGTGGTTTTAAGTACGTAGGGCAAACTTCAAGAGGTATCAATGACAGGCTAACGGAACACAAAAGAAACGTAAAGAATGATGCCGCAAATTCGGAATTATCTAAGCACGTGGACGAATGCAATAATTGTAGTGCACAATAATCAGGAGCAGAAATAGTACACCAAGACGCACATTAAGAGAGTTGTAAGAGAGACACTCCGTATAAGAACAATAGGAAACTATCGCTCGGGCCTCTTTACGGCTTGGTAGTATTAAGGAGAGCTTTGCAGCTCTAGTGGGGCTTTGTTTTGGTTGTCCATTTTTGCAAGTGTTCTGTTCGTCCCCTTGATGGTCTTTCCCGTGTACTAGAAGTCGGCGAGGTTTGGGTCATACATGAAGCTTGATGCCTCCCTTATCAATGTCTCTTTGTTTTACTTTTTTTTGTTTTTATTTGTTTTAGAAAGAAAATGTACTGTCTAGTCAAGACTATTGAAAAGCTCAATGTGTGCAATTGAAAATTGCACACATTGAGCTTTTCAATAGTCTTGACATTGAAACAATTGAAAGCTCAAGGGTGCAAACTTTGGCGATGTGTAGGATTCCGTGTTTTCGGAGGTTATGTTTCGTCAAATTCAAAACGTGTTTTTCAAGATTTTTTTTTTTGCCAAAAATTTGGTGTCTAAATTTGTTTATTCCGAAATCTCCGAAATTTGGAGCTTAATTTCGCAGTGTTTCCTATGAAGAATAAATAAAACTTATCCGGGTGTAGACGTATGCTAGATAAAGAAAAATAAAACGCGCTTATATCAATTAATATGCTTTCAGCTTGATTTGGTGTTGGTGCCATTGTCATTGGCACTACTAATCTGTCCCACAGCAAAAGTTGCACACATTTGTGATTTCGACAAACCCCCTAAGGTACTCGCTGGGGAGCACGTATTCATCACATATCCTACTACATGCTATCCAGCGGGCGCGCTTGGAAGAGTGGTAAAGGATGTAACAGGGAAGTTTCAACTGCCCCTCTTCTAATTTTATGCAATCTCTATGGTACATATCTTTAACTGTTACAAAAATAGCACCTCTCCTTCCTCTTAAAACACATATAGTACGGCCAAGCCTGGAAACCAATTCAGAGGCTTTTGTTGTGACCAGAAAGTACAATGACATGTCGTCCTGAACCTTGAAGAGATAAGCGGTAAGACCCCTTTTGTCAGTGATCCAAGATTTGAAAGATAACTGTGGTTGCATTTTCCAGGGAGCATTGACCCTGTGTGC